GTCTCACAAACTATGGTGCAAGAAGTTTGTGATTTTGATTAAGAGACCACAAGAGCGTACTAAAAAAAGTGTTTCACCCGGATAAATAACTTGAATGTAGAAGTATATCGCCAAAATGTTGGATACATAATTCCTCATGATATTCGTCGACTCTGTGATTTTCGTTAAGAATTATTTGGCCTCCTATGACCGCCCTTTCAATTTGAGTCTTTTCAAAGCAGAAACGGATTATTACAAAGGAATGCTCATTGAAGTAGTTGATGAGCTCTTTGCCCATAAGACTTAATATTAAAAGACTTGTTCATATTTTTTTTTTCAGCGACTAGAGGAATTTTAACATGACTTAAGGACTGTCGATGTTTCAAATGGTTGCCCAGAGCACATAGCTCGAAGTGCTCGATGTGGCTCTTCTGTCTCGAACGACGCTATCAGGTACTTATGTTGAGAGCGACAAAATCTCGTACGATAATATAGCAAAATTTAGATAAAATACATGCTAAAGCGGTGTTCGTAATTTTGAACAAAAAATGAGACCAAAAAAAGCTGCCCTTGAATAATTGAACGGAATTAAAGGATTACAAAAGCTGTGCAAAAATGTACATTTCCCCATCGTTCCACCATCAATATAGATCAGTAAGGAGAGGATGGAAAAAAACAAAATGAATAGGGAGCTGACACACCTCACACCGCGATCCACTGAATCCCGGGGCACATCGGCAGGTGGCACGATTATTTACAGTGATGCATGCACCACCATTGGCACAGACAGGTCCATAAGTAGAGTCGCAGGGATCTACTCGAGACTCGCAGACCCGACCCTCGAAGCCCACTGGGCAACGACACACAAAGGAGCCAGGAGTGTTCACACACTTTCCGCCATTACGACATGGTTCACCCGAGCACTCGTCAACGTCCTCGTCACAAAGTGAACCTTCAATGTCAAATCAGTTAGTGATAGAACCATCCTATGTTACAGCAGTAATCCAACCTTTTGCCTTTATCACATCTTTAACACGTTTTGATTAATGCTTTTCAAATTCAATGTTTTGTGAACCGACGACGGACGGGAGCTTCATTAACTTACTCAAGTTGAAAAGGATGAGGTAAAATCGGTTAGGTTCTTACGAGCTTAATGGGGCAAAATACTTACAATTGTATACCAGGTATTTAAAGCCTTTTTGCATAACACTGAGCGTAACCCTCATTATATTTTACTTGTGATCGTTTAAGCAGTTGTTATTAATCATACGCGGAAGTTTCAGACTCTTTTGAAGTTAAGAAATAAAGAGGACATTGGTAGCCATTCAGCTTAAACTAGCTATAATTATCAAAAGGCGTTCAAAAACGTTGCTTTTGTATGAAGCGGAGAGGGCAGTCATTACTCATACTGCAAAACATGGGTAAAAAGGTGCACAATGTAAATAAATTTAGTAGCCACCCTTTTCCACCAACTTGCCTTCTATCTCAATCGAGACGCGGACCTGTAAAACGGAGTTTGGAATTTTCGAAACAAAGAATTCAAAGTGAACAAATCAACAAATCAACAAATCAACCTAGCAATATTTTCTGGAAAATGGAGAAGAATGGTTCGAAAAGCAACAGATGACACGCAAAATTAGGCCAGAAACTCGATAACTTGTTCCTTACGGCAACTTTAATTCAGAGAGATACTTAAAATTAATGAAACACAGAAAAAGGCCTCCACAGGATTTGGACAGTAATAGGACTACAAGGAAGCAACCAAATCGCAAACCCATCTACACACTCCAAATAAGTATTGTTTCACATTTTAATACAAACGCGCTGCACCCTTGAAAATGCACCAGTTTACCTACAGGTAATGAATTGTGACCAAATATAAGCACCCTTTTCTACGATAGATGGACAAAGTATTTTACCAAAAAACGATAAAACCGCACATCTATTCAAATAAAGCTTGACACTACATACTAAAAAGGACTGAAACAATCAATGCTGTCAACAACTAGCTACAATGACTTCATGCCACTTGTCGAGAGACTCGTCAAAGGCATGCGAGTGCTTGTGCACAAATTACGCGCTGCTCATCAGACTTCACTATTCTCTACCTCAAGCCCACTCATTGCATCACGCTTCACCATGACATGATGGATGAGGGGTTCCAAGTTCCGCCTCGCCAACCGCCCCACTGCACCAAGACGACCCGTCTCGCCAACGCTCCAAATGCCTTCCACTTCCTCCACCAACTGTTGCACCGCATTCACAAATGCCATCTGATGTGGTGCGATGTATGCAGTGGT